TAAAATAAAACATTGGATTACTAAAATAAAACATTGGATTACTAAAATAAAACATTAGATTACTAAAATAAAACATTGGATTACTAAAATAAAACATTAGATTACTAAAATAAAACATTGGATTACTAAAATAAAACATTGGATTACTAAAATAAAACATTGGATTACTAAAATAAAACATTGGATTACTAAAATAAAACATTAGATTACTAAAATAAAACATTGGATTACTAAAATAAAACATTAGATTACTAAAATAAAACATTGGATTACTAAAATAAAACATTGGATTACTAAAATAAAACATTGGATTACTAAAATAAAACATTGGATTACTAAAATAAAACATTAGATTACTAAAATAAAACATTGGATTACTAAAATAAAACATTAGATTACTAAAATAAAACATTGGATTACTAAAATAAAACATTGGATTACTAAAATAAAACATTGGATTACTAAAATAAAACATTGGATTACTAAAATAAAACATTAGATTACTAAAATAAAACATTGGATTACTAAAATAAAACATTAGATTACTAAAATAAAACATTGGATTACTAAAATAAAACATTGGATTACTAAAATAAAACATTGGATTACTAAAATAAAACATTGGATTACTAAAATAAAACATTAGATTACTAAAATAAAACATTGGATTACTAAAATAAAACATTAGATTACTAAAATAAAACATTGGATTACTAAAATAAAACATTGGATTACTAAAATAAAACATTGGATTACTAAAATAAAACATTAGATCACTAAAAACATTGGATTACTAAAATAAAACATTGGATTACTAAAATAAAACATTGGATTACTAAAATAAAACATTGGATTAACACTATAGACACTGACTGTGCTGCAATAAAACACTGGATTAATTAAATTAATACTGGACATTGATTGATATTACTGAGACTACAGAAATAAAACATTACATTAATACTAGAAACTGTTTGATTTAACACAACAAGAAGGATGATCCATGTGTTATATATCACTTACCAATGTATTGAAGCTGCAGGCGAGACAACATAGACATTACTTTCACACAGCGGGTAAATAATTCTTGCTTTTCCCCAGTATACAAGATGAGCAGCAATTGAAAATATCTAGTGAGTATCATACAGGAAAGCTTGTTACAAAATACAGCATTATATAAGATCTGAATTAACGATAAATTAAGTTCCCACTTACGAGTGATAGAGGAATATCAGTATCTTGTGACAATATTTGAAAACTGTAATAAAACCGTTATACAGTACAAGTTAGCAACATTTAGCACATGTTCAATACCAATATAACATATTAGCAATATTTGTAACAACATTTACAACATGTTGACAAATAATGGAATAAATCTTATATCTTTCAAACCTTTTCAAAGGCGTTGCCATTTTGACAAATCTTATTAAATCAGGAGAACAGTCATCAGGCAACAATGCAGACAAAGAGATCTCGTCAACCATCAGTAAGACTGTGTGATAGGGCCTGAAGAAAGATAGAGTTCATTAAAATGTTGCTTTTTAAAAATGTTATGCTAAACACCACTGGGAAAAATACAGCTTCTGTAAAATGTGACCAAACAAAGGTTTATTATGCACCTCTGACTGCACACACATCAGATCATGGACCACAGGCACAGAATAAGAAGGCACAGCAGAAGTGTAACTTGAGTCGGTTCCTTTATTGTTTTATGTCCACGAAAATTTTATCTCGCTCACGCCATCCTGTCTAGTAGAACCGGAAGTTTTTATCAGGTTTTGGTAGGTACAAAGTGCCGGTTGTACTAGCCAGGATGGCGTGATTGATGACGAATTGCTTGTAAAAACGCGGACAAATACTTGCTTGAGTTACCCTTCTGCTGCACCTTCTTATTCTGTGCCACAGGTAAGACTCAGCTAGTTTTAGGTCACAGAACCAACCAAGGAGTGTTTAACTTGTATTATCGTGGTCTGCAGACCCACAGTAAAACAATCAGGCATCCCTAGGCTGACCAAAGGGGGGACCACAGGCATACCTAGGCTGACCAAAGGGGGGACAACACTAACCCTAATCACTGACCAAATTCATAAACAGGACGACATGAAACCACCACCTGCTTTTAAATATATTTCTGTTTTAACATACCGTACCTCATTGCTGACAGACAGGCTTGGACAGCTTCTGGCTAGTAAAAATAAAATCAACATACTTGGTCAAGAATAAAATAATTGATATTGATAAAAAAACAGGCCTTAAAATATCTTTTATAGTGTCGTCTGACAAAATGTCCGATAACTTTTAGTTTGGGTCGGACATATACTGTATATGATGATGTCCGATGACCTTCAGTTTAGTTTGGTTCGGAAATAAGTCTGAATGACACAAATTAATATCAACACAATGTATTAATTCTGAACTAAATATTGTGAAGATATTGAATAATTTGTGTCATTCATACTTATAAGTTATATTTCTAAGCCAAGATTAACTTGCTTGCCAATAATAGCAGTACGACTTCGACAATTTAAGCCCGTTTTCCACTTCAACATTTCACCGCCGCCCCGCGCTCGATGGCATTATTAAAAACAACATTTCCGATTCATTGTTATACAATACTCTGGTTCTCCATTTATAACATACCAGTCTCTATAGTCCTGGACTAGGGTACATTTTGATTTACGTGCGTGGAGAAAGCGTCGGACAAAGCTACAGTTCGGTTGGACACCAGTACACTCGGGTCGGACAAAGAATAAACCTCAGTTTCACTTAGGTCGGACCGAATGTCCGGTGGTTTCCTCTCTACGTCAGACAATTTGACGAATGGGTCGGACAATGTCCGTGACCGACCGATATTTTAAGGCCTGAAAAATCAGATTTAGGGTTGCAGAGTTGTTAGTTACGTATGAGCACATTACTTAACATATATACTGTTTTAACAATATTCATGCAAGAATATCTACATAATTACCCAGGTCTTGATTACTATTTATATATATATATATATATATATATATATATATATATATATATTATATAGATTGTGTCACTGATGAAGCCCTAACCGGCGAAACGTCTGACAAACTTATTAAAGTTTTTTAAGCTTACTTTTGCCTGAAGAAATCATTACCAACA